ATACGACCCCTTAATAATTTATGTTTGTTATTTTACTAATTTTTTTAAATCTATACTTATATTAAAAGTTATACTATTTACTAAATGTAGTATGTAGAATAGTCAACCCTAATTAATGATTTGCTATTTTTATCAATCATTTAATTAATGCATCTAACATTTTTGGTAAGAAACCAGATGGTTGGTTTCCTTATGGAACCAACCACCAATAAGACAGTGCCACATGGGGTTGTCCTACATAAAAATCATGTGGGACAGTCCCATGTGACACTGTCTCATTGGTGGTTGGTTCCATAAGGAAACCAACCATCTGGTTTCATAGAAGAACTGTTTGTATGTAATTCAAAGTAGCATTTAATTAGTTTCTAAAATATTAGGTATGCAATATTAATTTAGGAATATTCATGTAGTTCCTAAAATGTTGGTATGCAATACGTAAAAGAAGATTTTTTAATTTTTTTAAATATAAAATATTGCAACACGTAAAACTATAATATATATATATATATTATTTTATATTGTATAATATATAACATATATATATATATATTATATATTAAATTATATATATTATATATAATATATATATAACGGTTATATATATTAAATTATATATATATTATATATAATATAAAATAACGGTTATTATAAAAATTATATATATATAATATAATACAAAATATATATTATATATTAACCATTATATATATATATGTTATATATATATTATTTTCTTTATATATAATTTAGAATATATATATTATTTGCCAATAATGGCATAATAGTAAATTTTTCCTATTATTTTTTTATTTTATTTTACATATAAAATCTAATCAATATTTAATGCATCATACAAAATTGGATTTAGTTTAATTCTCCATACAATTGGTTGTAACTTTTTTAGTTGTACTTTTATTTATTTATTTATTTCACACTTTTTTCAGTTGTACTTTTTTTATTTATTTATCAATCATTTAATTAATGCATCTAATATTTTTGATATGCAAATCAAATTAGCATTTAATTAGTTCCTAAAATATTGGGTATGCAATATTAATATAGGAATATCCATGTAGTTCCTAAAATGTTGGTATGCAATACGTAAAAGAAGATATTTTAATTTTTTTTAAATATAAAATATTGCAACACGTAAAACTATTCCAGTTATTTATTTATTTTATTTTACATATAAAATCTAATCAATATTTAATGCATCCTACAAAATTGGATTTAGTTTAATTCTCCATACAATTGGTTGTAACTTTTTCAGTTGTACTTTTTCTATTTATTTATTTTACACTTTTAAATTAATGAAGCTCTCCGAAAATACCAAATCAAATGATTTATGAAAGTTTTTTTTTTTTTACAATTTTAAATCTATATACCCAGCTTAAAAAACTCATCGCATGGACGAGTTTAAGAAAATTTCATAACCCAGCTTATAAAATTCTATTTCCACGAGTCAAAAAAACTTCCCTCATCTATCGTAACAACTTTAATCGTAAATAAATAAAAGTCTAATTACTACTATAAATCCATTATCTATATAGATTTTTTAAAATCTAAATTTCACATGTCTAATTACTAATATTTTAGATACTTTTAAAAATTATTTGTATAATTTAATTTTTACACATTTGCTCTCTATATATATATACATATATGGAGGTTAAATGAAGAACTTTTAGACATATTTTCCTTACGGGTAGTTTAGAAAAATTTAGGTAGCTTCAAACATTATTTGTGAATAATATAGAATATTTTAGATGTTTTTATAGATGTTATAAAATATTTTAAGTATTTTTAGTATTTATATATCACACTTAAAAAGAATATTTTGCCAAAAAAAAACATTAAATACACATTGTAAATGTTAATAGAAACAGTCTTCAGTATTCATCTTTGATTTTGTCAAAACAAATCTCATAAAATCGGTGAAGTCAAAATTTGTACCTAAAGTCTATCTATACTAAAAAAAAAAGACAGATTCAAAATTCTTTATCTAATTTCTTCATTTCCTTATCTCATTCATTCTTATTATCTAATTGTATAGAAATTTGTTCTGATTTTGTTCAATCCTCTAATTGTATTTGTATCATATCCCATAAAACCGGTTTAACAAAAAAAACCCCATAACATCCGATAAGTAAAAAAAAAAATACGTAAAATCTTTACTAAATAAAAAAAGGTTTTATTTATTATCTAATTGTATGGAAATATGTTATGATTTTATAGTACGTATTACAAATTGTGCACCCGTGTTCAGGAGCTACTTAACGTGCAAGCTATGTGGAAATAACTCATTTTGTGTTTCTGTCTTGTGCATACGGTATGTATTTGTATTACACATACTAGAAAATTGTGCACCCCGTGCATCGCACGGACTCTGTACTAATAAATGGCCTTAAAATTAATGTGCACCCCGTGCATCACCCGTGTTCACATTTTGGCCTATTACAGGTCACGTACTATATATATCTCGTATATTTTTCTTTATTCATTTATATAATTATAAGACTTGATATATAGCCTTAATTTTGTGCATATATCTCGTATATTTTTCTTTATTCATTTATATAATTATAAGACTTGATATATAGCCTTAATTTTGTGCACCCCGTGCATCGCACGAGATCTGTACTAGTATCCTTTTAAATTCATGCAGGCAACTACAAGTGAATTTTTTAAAAAGAAATAAAAAAGTCAAGTTCTGGACCCAAAAGTGCAGAAAATAAGGGGAGTGGAAACAAATGAAAAGGACGTATTTTGCAAATACATTTTCCCACAATTTAAATGTAACATGTATTTCGTGAATATGTTTTTCTTTGTATTGTTATACCACGAACACTTGAACCGCTGGACCACTCCTCTTCAAACCGGGCTACGTCCCCTTGATCGCCGGTACCTGCAAAACACGCCGGGGGTGGTCCCGGCGCGAATACTCCGACGCTCAAGTCAGTGGTGGTCCGAAGGAAAAACGGCAGAGTAACGAGATAATTTTTTATATGTGTGTCTTGTAAATGAAATAACATGCGCCCCTTTTATAGATGAAGTCATGTAGAGGCTGTAGAGTTCTTATCATACCATGAGTCTTCTCCTCAGATTAGGTCAAAATTCCAAGAGTCCTTGAGGTTACGAACCTCTTTATGACTTGAGTACGATACCCCTTTTGGGCTCTGGTCACCTCAATGGGACGTCCAGCTACCTAGGTGCCCAGGTGCTGCCTAGCTCACGTTGAGCTAGCCTCCGCCGACCACCCATGTATTCCAAAGGTACCATGGGCTGTGCCTACCAGAACCTCCGCCTACCAGAACCTTCACCTACCGACCATTCGCCTACCACCCATGTACCTTAAAGGTACCATGAACTGCGCCTACCAGATTGGACCACCCAGCTGAGGGCAACTAGAACCCGGGTCACAACCGGCCCTTCATGAGCCGCTACCAATGACCACATCATGTATAAATATTTGTAAAATGTATTTGCTAAATACGTTTTTTAATTAAATTTATAAAGAAAACGTATTCTCTAAATACGTGTTTTTTATTTTCGTCCACTTCCCTTTGTTTGTGTATTTTTTTGTCCACTTGTTTTTTTATTATTTTTATGTAATTGATAGTTGAAAAAAAGAAGAGAAAACTGAAGTCCAGTCCTTGTATAACATGGTGGTGGCTCCCACTCATCTCTCTCTCTCTCTCTCTCTCTCTCTCTCTCTCTACCACCTTCCATCACTCCCACTCATCTCTCTCTCTCTCTCTCTACCATTTCAGCCATAAACCTGGCCGTCGATCCCTGTACATTTATTTGCTTTCCTAAGATCCATCGGTTTACTTTTCCCCTAATTTTTGAACTTTTGCTGGAATTCTTGCTCTAGAACCTCGACGCACATCGTGGATCTACAATTGTTCGCTGGAATCAGCAGCTTTGCTGTTTATTGAGCTAGGGTTTTGTTACTTGGTATGCTCAAAATCTGCTTGGTGTTTGATATGGGAACTTTGTGTCTCTGTGGAGAAGCGAATAGGAGCTTATGTAGGCGAGAAGGGCCTCGTCGGAACCCTAGAGTTCCACGGCGAGCTTCCAGCTGTAGTGTTGTGGTGTGAGATCAAATGTATGTGAATTGGGTTCTGGTGAGAGAAGATGCTCCGTTTTCTTCTTCCGGTTCTACTCGCTCTGTTTCCTACTAATTTAGGTACTTTCTGCTCCATCCTTTTTTTGGATGCCTTTTGACTTAGGTTGTCTACAACTATTTTTTCCTTACTGCGTATCCAATTGCCACACTTCTTCGTAAAGGCACAGCTTGAAAATTGTCTGTTTAAGGTAAAATGTGGGATGTGAAATGATAAGGTGATAATGTGCCAGCTGTTCCTCAAATCCTTCCAGCAAATAGGAATTCCGTGTGCTGACTTTCAGCAAACCCCGTCATGAGATTATGCATCGTCGTAGCATCTATGAACTTTTAGATGATGAGAGTGAGGCCCTTCTAAAGTGTAAAGGGTTTCCTATTTGATGACTTAATATGGAATATTTAGATGGCTTATTAATTTGTGGTGAATTTATTTCTTGTCTGCATAACAACCCCTTCCCATCCGCACCCTCAATCCCCAATGCAACCTGTGACAGTAACTTTTGCTTATTAAAATTGCTTTAGTATGTGTAGTGAACCGATCATGATGCCTGACTTTTGCTTGTCAGGGACTGCTTCACAGGTCATCTACTTATCTCCTTCTCACTTGCCCCTTCAACCATTTGGGACGAAAAGTGCTCTTCAACATGGTACATAACGAGGAATGTGTATCCCGTTGTTGGAATTTGTGACTTCTGTAGTGTAACCCAATCCCCCCCCCCCCCCCC